AAAGTAAAACTCGTCTTCAAACATCTTATTTTTATGGCTTCCATCTGTGCCACGCATCCTGCTTTGAATTCAAATAAAAGCACTCAGTCCAAAACGATGACTCTACGAAACAATAATTACTACAAAATCAAAAGATCACTCTGATTAAGCATAAGGCAGCCATTGATGATATTCTTTGCTCTGATCCCCTTCAGGTCGCCTTCTCTCTCTCTATATATATATATATATATATATACTTTATACATTGATAATTTTCGATCATCGTTAGGAATAAAATTGGGGGCTCGTCCGGGAGTTGAACCCGGGACCTCCCGCACCCGAAGCGGGAATCATACCCCTAGACCAACGAGCCGACAGTTGCGACATTATACATAACTGGATACAATGCTTACGAAGTAATAGATGGTTATAGACAGACATGGCCGCAGGGAGCAATGGCCAGTCCATTAGGTGTTTAAAAGAGAGACTCATAAAAAGATGTGTCTTCATAAAGCTTTGCCAGCAGCTGTAAGAGACACTGATCATTATTATTATTACTATTATTATCTACTGCTAACTCGTCAAAAAAATATCTATTGGTTTAAACATTTTTTTGCTTTTAAATTTGGTTTTTAAATTTTGTTTTTGCCGGGCAGCCACCGATGTATACAAGCTAGATCAGTATTTCGCTAATCGCTATACAGAGAGAGAGAGAGAGAGAGAGAGAGAGAGAGAGAGAGAGACGGAGGGAGGGAGGGAGGGAAAGATCAAACGAGTACTACTGATTACCTTAACGCGCTAGACATCATCTGTCGTTTAGATTTGTCCCTCGATAACTAACCTAATATCTCAGCCTTGACCTGCCAATAAAATGACACTTTCAAAGCAGACAGACTTATCAGAACTTTGTCTTAATACCATCAGAGCTAAACTATAACAGCGGTCAATTAAAAGCGCATATAATACCGGGATTGAAAGGAAAAAAGTTTCGATTTCCATTTCGAAGTTAACCTTACGGGGTCTGTTTTAGATTTCTCGTTTCCTCATGGGATAAAAACTCATAAAGTATACTGGTAAATTTAACGCTTCATGCCTGTGCTTTGCTGTCATATATCAACAATACCGACTTAAAATCTAGATTTCCATCCAGATTCCAAGAACCCTTTTATACTACATGTACCAGCGAGCAAATTTTGAACGGCGATCATTACTGAAACCATTCCCCATTTTTCATTTTTCAATAATTTAAATGTATTTCACAGGGTAATTTCACAATATCTAAAACCGCGCCAATATCATACAGTATAAGATTCAAACGCAACATCACCCTACGTCCATCTGGGAGACGCTCTCTCTCTCTCTCTCTCTCTCTCTCTCTCATTCCGTACATACATGTATAAGAGAATCGTATACAGAGTGCAATAACGTTCTTTTGTCCCTGTAATCGATTGACTGTTCAATAAAAATAATAATAGACTTATTACCGTCGCTGACAGACTATGTCAAAAGTCAAAGTATTCTGGTCCTCGGAAAAGACGTCTGTGACTTTTTTTCGAAGAAGCTTTACTCTAAAAGTTGGTCATAAGATTTAGTATACATTTTGATGTACTCCAATCCAAGAAAAATCTACCGTGGTCCATTCAATGAATAAAATTTACCATTAATCTAGATTATACCACAATTGCAAAAGTGTTTTGATTGTTGAATTAACGTTCATTCACATTTATGTTAGTCCTCCATTGAATTTACATAGGCTTATTAAGCACTTCTCATAAGATTATATAACTATTTGATGGCGGAAATAAAAATTAGACTACTTAAGCATAATGTATAGGCGGACTTGGTATCCAACATTGCTGCCAGAAGTGCACTTAAATCTCTTAAAAATCGACGTGGCAAATATCGCCGCTAAGTACAACTAATCAATATGTGAAAATGACTGATATAGGCCATTTCTTCCGATCCTGGAAAACTGATTTTCTGGGAAGGGACTTGTTATAACTTTTATAAAGTTGTCGTTATTTGATGAGATGGCAAATCACTTTGATTGAATCTCGGAAAACATCGATATGGAAATATTCAGGTTATTGTGTTCACTTCCTGAGTCCGATCTAAATCTGCGAAATTGAATATCAAAGACAATTGGTAACTAAAGAGGAAAATAAACTAATTTAAAAATAAGATCCGTATTCAAATGAAATTGTAAACACTTTTTTCCCTCCTGAATATCTACATTTCCCAGAAAGTCCATTACAATTTGTGATAAACTTTTATGAGATGTCTTCTCCAATATAGTTAAGGAATAAACCAACGCCGAAGTAAACCCAACCTCTCTCACTGGAGGCAACAAGAGGCCTTGTATACACATACCAATATCTAGGAACACATTTGTCATATAAGCAACTGTTCTCTCTCTCTCTCTCTCTCTCTCTCTCTCTCTCTCTCTCTCTCTTTTTTTTTTTTTTTTTTTTTTTTTGTGGGTGTGTTTTAGACCCCAATTTAAATTTTAAAAAAGGTTTTTTGAATCTTAAATATGCGGCGTGAGCTGATTCTAAAAAAAACCCTGTTTAATGGTTATTTATCAGTAACAACGCCCTGAAGAAAACACTAACACTTACCTGATTTCTGTTCATCTCTATACCTTTTCTTCTAATTATCACGTCCATACAACTGAACAACAACGGCAGGAAATTTGATAAAGCTGTAAGTTAAAGACTGAAGTCAACGGCTGATCGATAGGGACTTCCGCC